GTGGTTCTGGTGCAGCTATGTTTGGTCTAATGGTTTTCACTTGTGTGGGAAGATTTAGGAGAAAGGATTAGAGCTATTACTCCTGCAGTTGAAACACAACTTACCTCAAACTAGCCTTGTTTCTTGATGTTACTCATGCCATTGTTTTTGAGTTTGATTGACTTTGCAGCTTGTCACTTTGCTTGATTTACTTGTGATGGCTTCTGTTCCTTCACATCAAACCACTTGTTCTTTTGAACAACCACCCGCACACACACACAAGTGATATTTTTGAAAACAGCACAATATTTATAGAGAAACTCGTCAGATCAAGACACATAGCTGACTTGAGAACATCATGTGAATATACTAAAATAACAGAATTTCAATCAAAAAAAACTCACTATGAAATTTAGGTTACGACCTAAATTAATTTAGGTCGTAAAAAAATAGATCAATTTGTGCACCTATTTTTTTGGGATTACGTAAATCAAGGCCTTTTTCGGAGACTCAGGGTACATATATATATATATATACATATATATATATATACATATATATATATATATATGTGGTGGGATTTATGATGTGGTTTATGTAGATAATGAGATTGGGCACCCACTGAGGCACCGAACTGTCGCAAAGACTGTTGCAAGGACCAATCGAGAAAAAAAAGTCCCTGTGCGGGACACTGCCTATACGGCAGACTAGCTACTGTTTGCAGCATCAGATCCTCAGTGGTCCTTAGTGATCCTTAGTCCAAGACTGTGTGCACATGAGCACTGTGATTGTATATACATATTTCCTCAGGGCATAAGTCCTGATGAGATAATATAAGTATTATTGGTTTATATATATCTCTCTAGCACTGCATCTCTGCATGCGTTGTCTTTTTTGTTTGTTTATATGCGTTTGTCCGTTTGGCTCTTGCAAATCTACCCATTTGCTATCTTTTTCTATCTGTCTGGATCATCTAGATTTGGCTATCTATCAGTTGATCTATCTATTGATCTATCTATAGTTTTATCTATCAGTCTATTGACCTATTTGAGAACATGATTCATTAATATGATATATATATATATACAGTATATTGTTCTATCTTTATCATCTAGCTATCATCAGTCTGTATTCCTATTGTCAAACTATCTGCAAGTCACCTATTTCTGTATCCAGCATCTATATACTTCAATTTCTACCTGTCTGTACATACTTCTCCCCATATTTTTTTGTTTGTGTGTGAGTCTGTCTTGTGCTTGTTTGTCTGTTGTTTTTTCCAAGGACCTAGGTCCTGGTAAGTATACGTATGATCCAAGGATATAAGTCCTGGTAAGTATACATATGATCCAAGGACGTAGGTCCTGGTAAGTATACATATGATCCAAGGTCATAAGTCCTGGTAAGTATACATATGATCCAAGGACGTAGGTCCTGGTAAGTATATGCATGATCCAAGGACATAAGTCCTGGTAAGTATACATATGATCCAAGGACATAGGTCCTGGTAAGTACAGTATACATATGATCCAAGGACATAGGTCCTGGTAAGTACAGTATACATATGATCCAAGGACATAGGTCCCGGTAAGTATACATATGATCCAAGGACGTAGGTCCTGGTAAGTATATGCATGATCCAAGGACAAAAGTCCTGGTAAGTATACATATGATCCAAGGACGTAGGTCCTGGTAAGTACAGTATACATATGATCCAAGGACATAGGTCCTGGTAAGTACAGTATACATATGATCCAAGGACATAGGTAAGTACAGTATACATATGATCCAAGGACGTAGGTTCTGGTAAGTATATGCATGATCCAAGGACAAAAGTCCTGGTAAGTATACATATGATCCAAGGACATAGGTCCTGGTAAGTGTACTTATGGTACAAATACATCATGGAAGGCATACACATACTATTATGAAGATAATTGTGGATGTGTACAAATGCAGGTATATGCACAAAGGCTGCGATAACCGAAGTCAAAAGAAACAAGAACTTTTGGATTCCAGATGATTCCAGAACTCAACAACTTCAAATGCCAGTTAGTTATACACTGCACAGTTGACTGCACTCTTGGTGAGCAAGTTTACTTTAAGTTTGGCACTCAAAGCTGAACACAGCGCAGTTGGGGCCCTGTGCTCAAGCACTGATTCTGCCCACTCCCCTCCTCTTAAAAAAGCCCTTGGAGAAGGAACCTCTTGAAATGACTTGTTATTGAAACTTTGTCCTGAATTCCAGAACTCAAAAAAAACAAATGCAAGTGAGTGCACGAGAGTTAGAACGTAAATGAACAGTCAGTAAATATGCAAGACTGAGATCCAGGCCCCTCTGAGCCAACAAGGGGTCTAGGACACCTGAGAAGGAACACTGTCTTAAAAAATCATTGAGACTCTTTGCCACCTTCCCTGGAAATCTCTGACATTGGGAAACTCTTGAATTAGCAAACAGGTTTTGTACCAGAACTCAAGGAGCTGAAATCAAAAAGAGCTAAGTCAAGATTGAATGCACTCTTGGACATTTTTGGTGACTGTAGTAAGATTCCAAGGTGGCTATATGGGATAAATGGGGAATGCCAGAATGGTGAAATAAAACCTTGCTCTTCCCAACATAACTTATATTTAATGTATTTATGAAATGCTAGGATTTTTTTTTATCTTCATACACCACTTTCACATGAAGAAAGTCCTGGATTCCAGGACTAACCAACTTTAATAGGAAATGCCTTTAGGCATTGAAAGCTGGGCTCCAGACTCCTGCGCACAAGTAAAAGTGATCCCCTCCCCTCAAACCGTCTTGCAACATTACAGATCACATTTAGTTGATTTCATTTTTTCATAACAAAAAACTTGATTCCAGCACTTGACAGCTTCAAAGTGATCTCATGCACAGTTGAATGCACTCTTGGTGAACAAATTGTTTTTAGATTAAAAACCCGAAGCTGAACAATACAAAACTGAGGACCATGCTCCTGTGCTCAAGCAATGACTCTGCCCGCTCCCCTTCCCTCAAAATGTACAGAAGGAACCTCTTGAAATGACTGGACACTTTATTCAAACAGTTTCTCCATTCTGCAAATTAAGAACTTCAAATGCAAGTGAGTGCACGAGAGTTAAAACGTAATTGAATGCATCATTCCTTTTCCAATTGTGCAGTAGATACTTAAAAACTGAGATCCAGGCTCCTGTGAGCAAGCGAGGTGTCCAGGACACAAGAGAATGAACACTGACTAAAAGAAAAACATAGTTTTGATTGAGACTATTTGCCAAACCAGGATTTGTTTTACTATTGCTACAGGAAGTAGTTTACCAAAACAAAATTAACCTGCTAATGCATTGTATGAGGCTTCTAAGGGGGCTTTTAATGCAATTTTGCATGTCCTTGACATGGCAATGGGTGAATCCTGGAACCCAGGATTTTTGCATAGCAAATCGTTCTTTTTTCATACGAACATAAATTGTAAGGGGGTCCTTGGGGAGGGTAGAGTATTTTCCCATCATCTTGGCATTCCCCATTTACCCTGGGTATCTCACAAAACAAATGCAAAACCCACCAACATATTCAAGTTTGACTTAGTTGTTTTTAAATTTAGCTCCCTTATTTCCAAAATCCACACATATATATATATACGTGTGTATACACAACCTGCTTGCTAGTTCAAGAGTTTCCTAATGTCAGAGGTTTCCAGGGAAGGCCCAGGACTCCATAACTATGATGTTTGGTGGTTTTATGGTATGTTACATTTCTATGGATGCAATGTTGTGTAGATATATGTGTTCAGTGTTCATGTGCGTTTTATTTTTCATGCATTAGTGTGTGAAGTCATGCGAGATGTATTACCTAGTTTGCCACTGAAATGTGACATCATGTTTCTGATTACATGCATGTTTATAAGTGCATGCATGTTTATAATTACATCATGTCCACATCTCAACTGTCACTTCCTCATGAACAAACTGTCACTTCCAATGGCTGTGGATTGTACGGGTAGCATTCAAGTAAACTGTGTGAAACGGGCGGAGGGAGCTAGGAGAGATTTTCATCTGAGTGAGGGTAGCTAAGCCTTCGTTCAAGTACGTTCGTGCAGTACGGGCAGCCATTCAACGACCCTGGAGCAAGATTTTGTCCAGTGAGCCGTGTTTGCCAAACCAAAACGTAGCTCCCCCCCGACGCAAGGAGTACGGGCGAAACTCCCAGTCAGTCAAGGAGAGTGCTTCCAATCCAGAAGCAAAAGCTTTTCTCCAGGTGGCAGGGGTGGCTGTTAGAAGGGACGCCGCAGATGTGGTACGTTTCCACTGAGCTAACCGACGAACAACTTCAGTAACCGACACAGTAATACTCTCGGCGGCACCTGCTCGTTTGCCGCCTTTGGTCAGTCCCAAGGAAATGACTGCGGTAGTACCATGATCATTAATGGCAACATCACGATTTCGAACTCCCAACAATTCACCAGTACGAAGCATACCGTAGAAACCAAGTAAAAGAGAGAGAGCCATACCAGGTTGATTGTGAAATATATATGAAATATCCCGAGAGGGCTTGCAAGACCACCTCAGGAAAGGGAGGAGCTCTATTGGGGAATTCATTCACATGCCAAGCTTTTAACAAGCGCCATGCACCCGGCAGGTGCCCCCTCAATTGAGGTGAGACGTCTTGCAAGGCCGCCAATGTATCAGAGGCGACTGCTCGACCTTCGCCACTTGACCATAGATGCTCCAAATAGTCACACATCAATCCGTCCATGCGGGCACGCTGTGTAGGCAAGCTGAGAAAGTTAAAATCCAGGTAAGCATAAAACTTACTTCGGGCCTTTTCATACCTAGCTCGGGTTCGAGGTTGAATAGTAAGACTTTTGAGGGTTCCCATTTGTTTGCGGACTTTGCGGCGCTCTTGCTGCGTACGCCCTTCTAGGCGCTTCTTGCTTTTGCCCATTTTCGAGATAGCACCCGCCGACTAGGGCGGTCGGCTGGATTTTGAGCGGTGTGGACGTAGGCCCACACCGGTTGAAGGTGCGTCGCTATAGCAAGAGCGCATTGATCCGCATAATTGTCCGTCTCAGTTTTCGACTAGAGCTGCGCTCTCTACTGAGGGCATGGAGACAGACCAGACTATCAGTCAGGTGTATCACCCGACACCCCCAAGTCTTACACTTTTGTAGAACCCAACGAATTGTAGTAAGCGTAGCCCGCATTTCCAGCTGGTTTATGTGCTCACCAGGAGATTGCCATTTCCAGCCGGCTATCTCCCGCCATTTCCATAATCGGTTAGGTACTGTTTGTCGTAACCGCTGGTGTTTGACCAGGGGCTCTGTGCCCCCTTGAAGCATGACGTCTTCCCCCTTGACCGAGACCAGCATGGCCAGACGCCGAGAGAGCCCGGTATCTGGGAAGGTTGCCGTTGTATCCCGTCGCAGGGGCGGCCGCTGAAGGAGGGTCTGCAGACGCACTCCCTTGCCTGGCGCGCAGCGTTGGACAAGGTCCTGCACCGAGGCATGCGGACACACCCCCAGCCGCTCGAAGAGTGACTTCAAGAGACATGCGACCACGGGGACAGACCAGGTGTTTCCCAACAAAGTCTTCCGCAAATCAGTCCATGTTTCTCCCTGCCGGTGGGCTTTCGGGAGACAATGCTCTGTGTAGTTGGCCGGGAACCCAAGGATGGTTTCGCGCTCCACAATGCTAGCAACACGCACCTGTCCATGACGGTTATGCACGCAGTACTCTGGTCTGTATTGGTATGGCGGAAATCGGTGTTTGTCTTCTTGCCATCTGGCCAACGTGGTTTCATCGCAGCTGCGCAGCCCCGCCGGCCGACGGCCTGGTCTATCGGAGGGCCGTGAAGTTGAGAAAGTATAGGGAAACGGTGGCCCGGCGGCATTGTCCAGCCTGCTTCCAGGAAATCCTTGGGCTCAAATTCAGCCACAAGCTCAACAGGTGTAACGGTTTCCCACGCAGTGCCATACACCTCCAACACCGTCAACCCCGGCTCTGTAGTAAGCTCCCAGCCGAACCAGTACAAGCGTGGCCGCCGTGCCAGGCTAACCCCCGCAGAGTCTACTTGATAGGGAGTCATACCTAGATCTTGAGACATGGCTGCTCGATCAGAGACGTCCATTGAAGCCACGCTTTCGACAAAGACCCAAACCTGCGCCCAGGGGAACGCACGCACCAACAACTCCTTAACTCGAGGGATTTCCTTGTAAAGTGCGCTTCGTAGCCCCCGCTGCGACCCCCGCCGATCGGCGTTTAAGCCGCTGACATCTTGACAAGGCGGTCCGACACCAGTCCGACGGAGCTGAAGGAACACGCCCACTCTTGAGCGGTGGAGGCAGTTAGCTCCTGAATGGAAGCCACATGCAGCGTCCCGGGGAACGCACTCTCCACCACGCGATTGGCGGCTGCATCCACACTGATGTGGGCCGCTACCGGCAGGTGGAGCATTTCTGCAGCCACCCGGAGGGCGCCAATACCATCAAAGAGCCCCACTGTCAAGACCTCGACCACCTCGAAGGGTTCGCTCACGTCCCCTCTCAACAAGGCTGTTTGAGCTACCTGTCCAAAAGCCGTCAACCCAGCTGAGGCACAGATCCCGCCACCTGTCATGGAAGCATCGCTCGCGGTGACCTGGGTAGCCATTGGCAACCGAAAGTCCATATATGCCAGGGGGATTAAGGAGAGGAACCTTATCACCTCTCCCTTTACCTCTCGAGGTAGGCGCCAACGTACCACAGGGGGTTCGGCAGACATTTCTTCAATGAGCCGCCAGATGGCATTCAAGCTACATAGTAGCTGCCTGCGGAACATGGTAATGTATACCAGACCCCCCGCTATCACCTGAAGTTCCCTCTGAGTAGCAGCTCCACGTTGGACCAACTCCCAAGCTAGCCCCATGTATTTCATGATCTTGTCCGGCTTTGCAGTAGCTACTGCAGCATCCCCGTTGATGAGAGCCCCTTGAACCTCAGCACAAAGAGAACCTTCTACGGCTTTTTTCGGGTGTCTCGGCAGGAGACGGGAGTCGTATTCTTCCCGCATGGCTACTTGCAGATTTGAAGGTTGGCCCAAAATGTCCGCAGCAAGAGCACGATCCACTTTGCAAATCTGATCCCAGTTGTCCAAGTGGACCCGGAACAGGTTCTTACTAACCGGCAGGTGTCGGTCCCGACGAATTTCTTGCTCCCCACCACCAGGAGCTAGGACCCGGTGACACCCTGCTTTGACCACATTCCTATGAATGTGCTGTGCCCAACCCTACGCTGTTAACGAACACCATAGGTAATACCCGCGATACAAGGTGGCAGGGGCCACCCCTCATGTCCGGGAGGACACAGCTCCCGCGGGACTTCACGGGCAAACCCCATGTACCGCTGCCAAGAGCGCGGGATCTGGAAAAGGTAGTAAAAACACTTAATGTCTTCACTGGCCAATACCGCTATCTCACCCTCATACAAATAAAAAGCACTAAACCCCGAAATTCCAGGAAGGGTACAGGTATCGCCAGAAAAACCAGAACACAATGAATTCAGGGGCACCATATTCATGATGAGACGATGAAGTTCCAGTCCATCCTTGACTTCATTTTTACTCACTGCAAATAAACCGTTCAGCAGGGGGCGGCCCCCCACATGATAAAGAGCACTTTGGGGGAGAACACTGCAGATGCCTACCCGCAGAAGCCCCGCGCAGACCTCGGCCCAGTCGCTGTCTTCGACCATCGTGCGAGGCGCCCGCCCCAAATACTTCTGGTCCTCAGGAATCAGGAATTGTTCAAAGTCATGGATATAAGACAAGCATCCCCCAGAACAGAACTCTTCAATAGGCAAACTTCCTACTTCTTCAGGGAAGGCAGCAGCCATGCAAGGCCAGTTGAAATAACGGGCCAACTTGATTTCTTCTCCCCGATAGTCCACCCCCTTGACACGAAATAGATCCTTGAAAGTACTAGCTGGTATCTTCTCTTCCCAACTCCAAAAAAGCTCCAAACTCTTCACAATAAAGGATGCAACCCTCTTTTGTTCCACCGTAGGCGGCCGTGACGAAGTCAGGCTAGCTCCGTACAGGGAGTTCAATCCCATGAGCACTGCTTCCAACCAAGGCCGTTTTGCTGAGTGAACCTCTGGATAGTCCCCCAGGGGCCATGGAAATAAAAATTCCTTTGCCGTGGTCATGGTCTTGCGTCGAACCCAAAGGTATTTCTGGAGGGACTCTACTATCGGCTCACCTTAGCTGGGAGAAAACACGGCCTACCAAAAGTCGCGGGGCGCCGCCGTCTTGGTGAAACAATGGATCGGCCCTCTTCGTGGCCTGAAGAATTGCTGAATTCACAGCAGCCGCAGCCGGCAGACTATCAGCTGTAAAGTCACTCTCTGCCCGCTCAGCCGCTGCAGATGCATGCTCATCCTGCATCAGGGGGGCCCCCAAGTCGGAGCGCTGCCAGTCGTGAAGTGGCCCCTTACTCAGGGGAACCCCCCCGTCAAAGCTTGACATCCCTAATTCACCCCGCCCCCCCGGTGCCAGCAGGGGAGCGCAACCATGCACAGGTGAAACACTTCTTGTTGCCACATCAGCCATCGCAGGAGCCCTTCTTAGCTCCCCTTCGCCTTCTCGCCGTCCCCTTTCTTCTGATCGCCCCGCTTGCCTTCGGGCTTTCCTCCTTTGCCTTTCGGCGCTCCCTTCTTGCCTCCTCCTTTTGTCCAATCCTCCTGCCGATTGGCCCCGGCTCCTCTTGCACCGAACGGGTGACTGGCATCCCAGCGTGCCCTGCCTTCTTCCCTGGCTCTCTTCTGAAACTCTGTTGTCGTCGACATACTGGCCGTCTCCTTCGGTAGCAACTCGGCTTGCTGTGCCACCGAGTAATGCACGCCAGCGGACTGCATTTCTAACGCCTTTAGGCGCTGGGCTGCCATGTCGAAGGCTTCCACCACCCGTCCTCTCAGACCCAGGTCGAGCATCTGTGCCAACGTTTGTGATTCTCGCCCCATCGCAGGGCTCATCTTGCTCGCTAGGTTCTGTCTGAAATACTTGGTGAAGATGGGGGGGAGGACGCCCTCTTCGATGTCTATGACTCCGCCTTCTTGGGAGAGGAGCGCTTCCGCCGCCTCTTCCGCCTCTTCCAAGGCGGTGGTCAGGAGAGCTCCTGGGAGCTTCCGGCCGATAGTCTGCACCTTGCTTGAATTTCCAAAGATCGCCTTGTCGGTGGAGATCCCACTGGAGCTCTCCGAGGAGTCTGTGGACTCCCCCCGAGACTCTTTTGTCTTCCGGCGGGCCAGTCGAGCGGCCCTCTTCCTCACTCGTCTCCTGATGGCCGGATCGGGGTCTGCCCCGGTGGCTCCGAAAACCGCTTTGAGCTCCTTGCGGGGCTCCAACTTGAGTGCCTTCTTTTTCTTCTTCTTGCTCTTTTCTTTTTTCTTTTTCTTCTCCTCTTCTAACTCCTCTGATGAGGGGACCTCCTCTGGGCCACGTCCCCCCCGCTCTCCTGGCGCCTTGTCTGCGTGGCGAAACCTCTCTTGGTCGCGCCGAAGATCGGCCATCTCGTCGCCCGCCTCGGCAACGCGCTCTCTTGCATCAGATTTGACATCCAGCCCGCCCTGTGCTCCCCAAGGGTTCGAAGACGTTTCACGTGGACCAGACCGTCCTCGTGAGGAGCACCTGTGCAGTCGGCCGGACAAAGCCTGGACATGCGTTTGTCTAACATTTCATTTCAAGTTTGACGTTTGCCGTTCTGGTGGCCATTTGTTCGACATTTTTCATTTGTTCGACATTTGCACATTTGTTCGACATTTGCTCTCTGGCTGAGTAAACACTTACTGGCATCCTTGCCTCCCTTTCCCTAGTCCCTTTTTCCTTGTCCCCGCAACCCAGCAGAGCCGAGCAGCAGGCCAGCCACCAAAGCAACCAGCAGCCCAGGAACCAGCAAAGAACCAAGCAGCCAGCAGAGCACCCAGCAGCAGCACAGCCGCGCAGCAGGAGCAGCCAACCAGCACCGTCAGCGCCACACTGCTTACATCTTCCTTCTCCGCCCCCGGGGGGCCCCATTAGCGATCTGGAACCCGGCGTCGTACGGGAAGTACCGGGCCCTGTGGTCTAGTGGTTATGACATCGGCATATGACATCGGTGCGCCGAAGGTCGGAGGTTCAAATCCTCCCGGGTCCCTTCTGCAAGGCGGTGGTGCGACCAAAGTGTTGCGTTTACAGCTGTGCTTGGCCAGCGCTTTGTGTGACCAATGTGCTTTGCCTTCCTCTGCTCCCTTTGTTGGGGGTCTGCGGTTTTTGGTTGAAACTTCCGCCACCGCCTTGCGCGGTACTATTCATGAATACGAGTGTGTGCAAGTTTCCTTTGCTTTTTTTGCTTCCATCAGTTCCATGCTCCTTATCAGCAATGCTGTTATAGCACAAAGGGTTGTGGCTGTATGAATGATTGAAAATGGCATTTTTTTTCGTCCGAAAGCTTTGTTTTTAGCAATTTGGGCCCATTCTTTTGCCAAATGCACTAGTTTCAAGCAAAAATTTTGGGATGTGTATGACAAGTTTGAATATGATGTGACATATTGGAACTAAATTCTAATTTTTGCTCCAAAACATGTGTTTCCAGTAAGCCCAGCGCATACTATTACCAAAATCAGTTATTTCAAGTGGGTTTTGGAAAGGTGGGACATGTTGGAATTTAACGTTTTTTTTGGTCTCAAAACATGTCTTTTCAGTAATTGCAACCCATACTGTTACCAAAATCACTAGTTTCATGTGGATTTTGGACCGTGGAATGTTAGAATTTCGCACTAAAACTGTGATATTACCACGCCTCCAAAAGGCCACTACCGCCAATATTACCTTGATTTCGATGTTTTTGGGTGACAGACATGATGGGAAGTACTCCATGATTCAGCATAGTTGAACCCGGAAAGGTGTGTTTTTATGAATTCTCCATGTCATTATGACCAAATACGGTGGTCTCAAGTCGTTTTTGGTCAGGAAATGGGGTCTATTTTTCAACCTGTTTCAACCAGGACATTGTTTTTGCTTGCCATCATTTTGACCAAATACGGTGGTTTCAAATTGTTCTGTAGACAGCAGACGTATGTTGGAAAAGTTGTCATTTTTCAACCCAGAAGCTGTATTTCCCAAGCTCATATAATCACCAAATACTTCAAGTTGTTCTTTGACTTTGGTTAGCATATATGCCAGAAAAGGGTTCATTGCGTGAAGCCAGAACTGCATGAATTCCGAGTTTCAGTAAATATTAATACTTGGGGTAGAAATATATATATATATAATATTTAGATCATCTTATAAGGGGTAGCCATACATGCCCCCCAAAAAAATCACCAATTCACCCAACATCTTGTCGCGGGTTGCATTGGACCTGATATTCATGTTGGAGGCAACTAGACGAGAGCCAAACAGAATTCACCGTTGTTTGCAACAAACTTTGTTTTACTCAAGTTTGTATTTTGCAAAATGTTCGTGTTTTTTGGCTGGCATTGGTTCAAGATGCCACCACAAATATCCAAAGAAACATTGGATTTGTCCGCGCTGGATTCACCGAGTAAAGGTGCCACCCCCCGAGCCTTTGCACCTGATGTCAGTACATGTGTGATTTTCGAGCGGCAGGGGAAGTGCGCTGAGTTTTCGTGATGTGCTGTTTTTTGCAGCCGTTTTTGCCCAATTTTTGGGACAGAATGCCGGCACCATACAGTGCTGAAGATGTGGCAAACTGTTTCGCACAATTTCCAAAGTTGAAACAAGTTTCTTGACAAAACCGCTAGGGTGGAAGCATGTAGTTTTTGGGAATTCATCATATACTTAATGGGGGAGGCTCGAACATATTATTTTTGAACATCGCGCGTTTTGAGAAATATCCATGTCAGTTTTTCTTCAGCCTGAAATCTGAGGTGGGACTTTCTTTCATCCAGGATCACTCAGGCAGGGTCTTCAAGAGGAAGGGCACGGCTGCCTGTACGCTGAAGGATGTGCAGTCCAACAGGGAAGTTACTTGCCTGTTGATTCAGCTTTTTGGCAGGGCCTGGCGGCACTTTATTTCTACCTTACTTAGTCTGCCATTGCATCCAGTGCCATTTCTAAGGTAGTTTGCGCTGTGCTCAATGCTTCGGGAGGTCGGGGATACTTTTCCAAGCACTTGATGACGCAAGCCATCAAAGTCTTTTACAAGCAGCACGACCTATTTCCTGCTGGACTCGGTGATAACTTACCAGCTGTTTCAACTTGGGCAGAGAAACAAGGTGAAGCTGTGGCCAGACTTGTGTCTGGGATTGCATTTCAACTAATTGGACTGCAATGGTTTTGTTGCAGGATTTTTTCAGGTCATAACATATTTTTTTAAGTCTTGGCCCATGAAAAAAATCTGGGATAAAATGCAAAAACATGGGTTGAATGTTTTCACAATTTTGTTGTGAGGCCAGTCGATTCAGACCGCTTTACCGCCGAAGCGACACTTCGAAGAACCCACATCTGCAGTGGATCCGGGACAACTTGATGAATGTTGTTCCCAGTCAAAATTTGTTTCGTTTTGTTTGCTTATTTGGAAAACTGACACATATGTGTTTGTTTTTGGGATTTTGGGTCTCTCATGTAAATTGTTCCCATATGTTTCCATATTTTTCCGGGTTTGCCTCATCCCTAGGACCTTGCCGGGATGGAAGCTGATGCAGACCTTCATTCTGAAGCCGGCGACTCCTGTTCAGCGGTGAGTTCTTCAAGTTCGGGGCTGGGGGTCAGCGAGGACTTTTTGCAAAGCATCATTGCAGACGTGAAATCTGTTGCTTGGTATGTGCTGGGTCTGGTGGTTGTTTTTGTTGTTGATGTTTTTGTTGGATAAAAAGTGAGATAAAAATATCGACATAGCATGTATTTACTGATTTAGACCTTCAGAGATATACAGTTATATATATATATATATATGTACATACATATATATGTGTGTATATACGTGGGTTTTAAGAGGGGCCCCTTCCAAGGACTTGAGGAAGCCTGCAAAAGGTGAGAAAAAACATCCAGCTTTGCTACCACCTCAGGTGCATGGGGGTTGCCAAACATTTGTTTCCAAACAAAAAATCACAACATTTATATGTTCAGGGGGAAATCATATTATAGTTGGACCCTGTTTAGGTGCTGGAAGTTTTGAAGCAAATCGGATGCCCCAAGCCTTGCAAGAAGGTTTCTGATGAACCTGAAAGTGAAAAGGTTCCAGAACCCAAAGAGGAGTGCAAAGAGGAGAAAAAGGCACCACGAAGGCCTGTAAAGAAAAAACGTAGTTTTGGCAAGAAGTCGAAACCCCATGGGGAGGTTGGCAATGACATGGGCAAAGGTGGATCTGTGTACAAACCTGGTGAGTTTAATGAAACTTTCAGGACTTATGTCAAAGACATGAAGGCTTCTGGTTTGACTCATGCTGCCAGTTTGAAGGCTTGGTCAGAGTCGGATGTTCGCAAACGGCTTTTGGAAAATATGCCCCTCTCTGAAAAGAAGAAGAGGCGGTTTGAGTAAGGGTTTAAAGGTTGCTGTGCAATCTGGGGGTGTCTCCAGGATGTTGCGTGAGCCTGGCTTAGGGGAAAATAGCGCGTTCTTTCCGCATGGTTCACTGGGACAAGATACGTTTTCTTTTGCATGGTTTGCGTCAAAAAAATGGGCATGAGTAAGATTTTGGGCCAAACTTGCCAGTTTCAGGTTGCTGTTTTGGTTGGTGTTCCAGCCATGGTTTCGGTGGCGGACATGTTGCGGTGGAAACTTCCGCCCATACTTATCATGTGTGTTTTGCTGCTGCGATTTGGGACGCCAGATTACACCCCAGACACACTAGACTTCGTGGAGGTGTTCTGTGGAAAGGCAGAGATTAGCAAAGCCCTTCGACGAGTTTCTCGCTTATTCCTTTTAATTAACGCTTTCCATTTTGTTTTTGAAACAATACCAGTGCATAGAATACTACATGGGACCTTTTGAAACCGTCACCCTGCATTGAATAAATACTATATGCGAACCTTTCTAATAATAGAATATTTCTTTTTTGCAGCTAGCCTGATGAGGTTGGGTACGTTGGAGTCTCCATCGATTTCATCCAAGATGAGACCACACAAAACCTCTTGAGTCCTGCGGGTTTTCTGCAGCTTGGTTATTTTCAGCATTTGTTGTTTAACCATGTTGCTTAAATTTGGGTGCATGAATACTCAGGCATTTTTTAAGGCAGCCATCTGCATTCTCCAGGCTTTGCTTGGGGCAGATCTTGAAGTGCAAGTTGGGAGCGTTTGTGGGACTGGCCTTGTGCTGCAAGTCTTACAGTGCTATGTCTCTTGGCTGCATTTTAGAAGGGCTTTATATTTTCGATTTGTTCTACTTACCCTCGAAAAATCAAAAAAAAAATATATATATATATATATACAACCGACCTCACCTCAGGAGCAGGGCAACATCTGGGCGTACAAGATTTCTGTGGGAAGGTGACCTACGTTTTGCCTTTGTCCGTGAAGGAAATGGGCTAGCATCACGTGTTGCTCTGATGTGCCTTCTTTCATCTTGTATG